TAAGTCGCTCTGCTCTTGCCTTGGGCCCACCAGGACCCCGGGCCAGCCTGTCGCCCGTGGGTGCTGACATTGCCCTCAGGCCCCACGGCCGATCAATGCTTCCTGGTCTCCGTTTGGAGCTGGGGACCTGAGATGCATTTGCCCTGGTGTCCTTGAGCTGAGATGTCACTGCAGTGGCATGTCCTCTGCCTTCATGCATGGAGAGGGGGTGGCCAATCAAAAACACTCCAGAGAGCATGACATTTGGCTGTTCTGTAGCCACTGTCCCCAGTGACCCGTAGATCAAGTCAACTCTGCTTTACAAATAACAAAGAAGTTTCCCTTTTTTCTCTCCCCACCCCTCCTGCCCTCTCAACCCCACTCTGCAATGGTTCAAAGAGTGCAGCCCAGGGGCCTAATGACCACCATGTTCTTGTGTTTGCCACAAGGAACCTGGCTGCTAAGAGGAGCCCTGGCAGGCCGGGCAGGTGCCGAGAATCTGTGGAGGTCCAGGGTAGCGTGCCCACTGGTGAAGGGAGAGGCCTGGCTGAGTGCCTGCCCACCGTGTGCCAGGCCCTTGGTCATTTAATCCCAACAAGTGTTGCTATGAGGCAGGGACGGCCATCCCCATTTTACCGACGAGAAGCCTGAAGCCCATGCTGGACATGATCAGCCAGCTGGTCGGCGGCACGATCCCTCTTTCCTCTACACCATGGTGTCCCCGAAGCAAGAGCAGTTCAGCATCAAATGAGCAGGTTCCTAGATGGTGCGGCTCCTTCCTCAAGGGGCCCTCTTGCGGCCAAAGCTGTTTCCCCACAAGGTCCACACCCATCCCAGCACACACGGAGGGGGACCTGGGGTCAGCCACGTCCGCGGCAGCCATGTCTGGTGAGCATGTTCCTTGCGCTTCTCTCCCTTCTTGAGTCCACGCTGTCCTGGACTTAATGAGCTTCGCTTACAAAACTCCCTCACCGTGTGCCCTGGAGGCTGTAGAGAGAAGGGCAAGCACAGTGATGGGGCCCAGATTACCTGGAGCCCCCCAGGGAAGGGACTGCCTCGGTCAGGCCGGCTGCGGGCCAGCACAGAGCAGGGCGCAAATGTGTGGGCTCCGCTCCGCAGCAGCCCGGCCCGGCGGCTCGCGCCCCGACCCACAAGGCAGCCCATCCACACTCGCCGCCGCCGGCCCTCTGTACAATCTTGGGCAGGCTCGCCCCTTGTCTGTGCTTCAGTCTGCTCATCTGCAGGATGGGGAGACAGAGCCAGCCCCGCTGCGTCCCCGTGGGAAGGAAATGAGTGGATGTTCATGCAATTTTGGAACCGTGTCTGGCACACAGTGGGGGCTATGGAAGCATTAGTTAAATCTCACATATACGTGTTTTTAAATAGCCACATTTCGTTTCAGTTTTGAGTAATGCTATTAAAATCCTCCTAAAATGTTCAACCGCCCTTTCTCTGCTCTGGAAGGTACAGCACAAGAAAGCACTTCACTCCAGAAGTGGAATGTGGCAAATCATGTTCTGATTAACTGATGCTTCCCTGCACAGCCTTGATTCTATAAACCACATCTTTGCAAAGATTTCAAAGCCCTTTCCACTCACGCACTTGTTTTAAGATAGGAGTGGAACAATGAAATAGTGTGGCTGGGCTTTTAGAAAACACAACTGAGGGCGCCTGGATGGCTCAGTTGGTTAAGCGACTGCCTTCGGCTCAGGTCATGATCCTGGAGTCCCGGGATCGAGTCCCGCATCGGGCTCCCTGCTCAGCAGGGAGTCTGCTTCTCCCTCTCCCGCTCCCCCCTCTCGTGCTCTCTCTCTCTCACTCTCTCAAATAAATAAATAAAATCTTTAAAAATAAATAAATAAATAAAAATAAAAAAGAAAACACAACTGAACTTAGAAGTTCCAAATGGCTACTTGGGCAGATGGGGCTGCCCCGCCTTGCTCAGAACGAGGGTGGCTCCCCAGGCAGGAAAAGCCCCGGGTGTGGGCCTCTGTCTGTCCGTGTGTCTCTCTCCCCCTCCAGAGCTGATGCTGAGTTGAGAAGGGCCTTCATTATCACCTAACAGAACTTTGTAGATGAAGTAACCAAGGTTGAACAAGATGACAGTAACCAGCCTTTTTAAACCCACCACTTTGATAGCAACTTTTTACCAGTTTTGGCTCCAAATGACTTTGGTTTTTCCTTAAAAAATTAAATCTATTTCTAAAAAATATCTACTCCCCATTGAGACTTTAAAAGAATGGGCAACAGACTATGAATACATTTACTTGTACTAACACGGAGCGTGTGGCCAGTTTTATCCCCTGGTATCCTAGCCTACAAGAGAGGGAAGACCCAGCTTGAACTCACTTCACAAGTTAGAAAAGGCTGACAAAGCATTTCCCCCGCACCAGGCAACACTGGGGCTTTGCGCTTATGTGAGGAAAGGCAAGTCTTTGTCTTATACGGGCATTTGGCAGTCCCTGGGACAGGCCTAGGAAATAGGGACAGGCACATGCACGCTTGTGTGCATGCACACCACCCCCCATGAGGCCCTTGGGCATGAAGTTAAGCCATTACAGGTGGACCGTCAGACCCTGAGAGCCCAGTGACCAGCAGTTAACTAGCATAGGGGGTGGGCAAGAGCCAGGACACAGGTGACAGTTGGCCACCCTGGCAGCCCTGGAGAAGCTTGGCATCAAGAAAGTCTGGTGGAGACAGCAGGACCCAGCTAGGGCCTGAGGATGGAGTCAGGGCTTGTGTCTTAAAAGGACTCAAGAGAGCAGGGTTGGGCTCAGTCCTGCAAAACCCATGTTGGCAAGCAGGTTATGAAGGTAGGTGTGGGATGCAGGGACCTGATAATGACCCTGCGTCTGGTCTCAGAACAAGGCAGAGGTCCAGCTATGCAGCCTGCCACTGAGGTCAGCTCAGGACCCGGGCGCAGCTCACTTGATGGAGTCCTCTGTGATCCTGAACTGGCCTTCTTGGATCCACCGCCATCATAGGTCTCCACTGGGCCTTCAGCCCAGTCCCAATGGTCCCAGCTACGTTAGTTAGAGGATGGCAGCAGGGCATGAGCCAGGCAGGAAGCGGATGTCTGGGTTCTTGACTGAGCAAAACTGTCCCAGGCTGGAAGCTTCCCCAGGGAGGGGAAAAGCATTCCTATGTGGTCTCAGTCTCGACAAGGTATGGGGCCTAGCTGCAGATAGATGCATGCCCCAGATCAGGAATCCCCAAGGGGCCAGTGGCAAAGAAAGCACATTGTACAGACTATGCTGACTGGGTAAAGGCACAGTGAGCCTATTCTTCATGCAGCTAACTCTCCCCAGAAGAACCCTAAAATAATTTCAGCTCTATCTCCAGAGCCCCTACCAATCTTCTCCTGATTCCGTTCCTGCTCCTCTTCACTTAACTGTCCCCCAAGCCCAATCTCAATGTCTAGGCCCAAATGTCTTAATGTTAACTAAGATTCATTCAAACCATTAACCTAATTAGCATTAAGGGAGTAGCATTTTATTCTTCCCAGTGTTATTTACATATTTTGAGAGGATCACAGAGAACAGGAATCATCTCAACCAAAGGAATGAATATTTAATAGTAAAATTTCAGCTAGGTGATACCTGGATAGGGAGAGGTTTTAAGGCACAGTAAAGCTGCCCCGCATCCATCCCTCCTTCCTAATGGCACCTCCATTTCCTTTTGGGAAATTTTCTCTCCTTCATTATGCAAGCCAAGGGCTTAAACCACATTAGGAATGTCAGACAGGACACATTCTCCTGTCCCACCAAAGTATGGCAGGAGGTAGGCACAAGGCCCCAGTGCAGCCAGTTGGACAACAGTTGCTGGTCGTTCATCCCAGAGGCAGCAGCATGCTGACCCTGTAGATCATGCCTTCTGTCCCTTCGGATGTCCTTTGGTTCCTGCCCCAGCCTCCCCTGGTCCCCCCACCTTCCACTGATTATGTGAGCCTTTCCCCCCCAAAGCCTTTTAAGTTAACCAGTCTTCGCTGTTCACAAAGAACATGGATTCCCAAGCAAACTCCACAGCCACGGCTACCCGGAGTAAGGCCAGTGGTGGCCGGGGAAGAGAGCTGGCTGTGCACTGTCCCTCTAGGCACAGGCTGGAACACATACATCACACTTATAACCACCATAAGCCAATGGTGGCCAGTGTCTCTGCAACTGGAACCAAGAGCCATTTGGGGAACCCAGAATCGGGAGACTGAAGAACAGCACCTCATCTCCCGGTGGTGACAGGATGGGATCACATGCAGCCCTGACAGTGGGAACACCCCCCACGTGGCAGTCTTCCTCCTCCCTCCCTGCCCTGTGCACACACTCATATGTGCATGCGAACACTCACAAGCCTGCATGTGGGGGTGTGCGCACACACTCAGCCAGCAGGCATCCTCCCAGTCTTTTCCAGGGAGAATCTCTCCAGGAGAATATGGCAGGCCCAGGGTCCAGGTGGAGCCTGGGCAGTAAACGGAGAAAAAGAGAAGAAGAGATGGACCACAGTCATCTTCCTTCTCTGATGGGATCCAGAAGGCCAGGTCCCTGCCTTCGCAATCACATACCTTACATAAACCAGGAGTCCCAGTGGGAATATACCACCTCACTCTACGTAACACCAACAGGACCACTTAATAGGACCACCCAGGCAGCCTTAAAACCCAAACAGACCCGAGGTGTCAAGGTCAAGTTGTCTCCTGGTCCAACCCCATGGCTGCTTTCTTTCTCATCAAGGCTGGGGCCAAGGGACATTGGCACTGATTGGTAATGGGGGGCGGGAGAGGATGGGTGAAGAAGGGCCCAGCAGGCTCAGCAGAGCTGGGATGCAGAGATCCACCAAGTGGAAAATCATCTCCTAAAAGAGCTCCCTCACCCACACCGAAGACACATGACGGATGGAGACACGTGTGCACGCACACATACACACACACTCTCCCCAAGGCCCGTCAAGAGCCCAGGTAAGCGGCCAAGAGGTGGCACTGGGCCAAGAACAAAACAGGGAGAGAAAGCACGCCCGGAGTGAGGCAGAAGGCAAACTGCTTCCTAGTATGTTTATTGGAGCCTTGGCTAAGTATGAATACGGATCAGGAACCCCCCTCCACAGCCCAGTCAGCCCGATGGGGGCAGAGACACAGGGAGGCAATCTCCGTTTTTTTCCCATTATAGACAACATTATTAAAAAAAATAAACTTTACAATAATACATTTTCGCTCATCTGTGGGGGTATTATTTCCATAGTTTTGCTTCTTAAAAAAAGGAAAAAAGGGGAAACCACACGATATATGTATACGGATGTGTATATACATATATGTTGAGAAAAGAGTCACGTTACGTACATACGGTTGGCGTTCGTCTGGGAAATGAGAAGAGAATGTGGAAAAGAGGAAAAGGGAGCCATGGCCCCCAGAGCACGGCGCCGGCAGGAGTCCCACCAGGCTCTTCTCTGCCCCCTCGGGGACCCCTTTCCCTGGGGCGGGGGAGGGGGGAGACCCACCAAATGGACCCACAAGAAACCAAAAGAGCCAACAAAGGATCATTTCTCTTTGATTTCAAAATTCCTACCACGGAGGAGGAAGCATCAGCCTTGAGCTGGTGCCCAAGGTTTGCTCCCTCAGCCCAAGGGGATGTCCCAGGAGGGCTGAGCCCCCAAGCCCCCTGGAGCTGGCCCCAGCCCTGCCTCCAGCCACAGTCGGGGAGCCCGGCGCCACACCCTCCACAGGCATCACTGGGGGTTCCCAGGTCAGACGCAGACCCACTCAACCCAGACAGAGAGGGTGAAATAAACTCCATCCTCAAAGCCAAGTGGGGGTGCCGAGGTACCCGGCTGGACCCCCAGCAGCCAGCCTCACCGCCCGCTGCCCGACGCCCTCTGCCAGGTCCCCCGCAGGTCCCTGGAGTGGGTGGCTGGAGAGGAGCCGCCACCCTGCCCCCAGTTCACATCAGCACAGCCTCAAGTCCCTTGGGCCACAGGGGTGTCATCTTGGTCTCTTATGTCAGCAGGATGCAGAGAGGAAAACACCAGCAGAAAATGAAGGGCATTTCTAGACCCTCGCACTCTTCCTCAGCACTGGGTTTCCCTTGCCGAGGGACCTCTGGGCCAGCTCTCTGGCTGCCCGCCTGCTTGTCTGTTTGGTTTAGAAAAACTTCTCCAGAGAAGAAACCTGGGAGGAGACAGGTTCAGAGACAAGGTGGGGGACAAAAATTTTTTTGCAAGGTGTGTGTGTGTCTGTGTGTGTTTCCATTTTGCCAGGCGGGTGTTCTCATCTGTGTAGTTTCCAGAAATCTCCCGACATGGTTCCCAGAGCCTACAAGGCCAGCTTCAGCATCAGGAAGGAGACAGCGGTCAAGGCAGCCGACGGTGTGGCTCTGCGGGGGCCTGAGTTAGGTTTGATCACCTTGTTACTCCCTGGGATGATATTGGTCGTGAGCTGCGGCCATGGCACAAGGGGGGACAGAAGCAAAGACACAACAAGAGACAGAAAACCAAATGAGTCGGCAGGCCCGTGGTCAGGCAAAGAAAAGGACTCAAGAAGTAAAGTCCTCGAACCCCTGCCCTCCTGGTCCACCCAGGGTGCCCTGCTTTCTGCTCCCCTGGAGACGAAGCTGGGCTTCCATGGGGCTGAGCCGAGCCCTGGGCTCCAGGAGCCAGGGCAGCAGTCCCCAGGAAAAGGGGCTGATGCTGCCAAGTGAGGAAGGGGGTCTATGGACACAGACCAGAGAGGAGGGCCATGGTACTAAGATCTCAAGGAGAAGTTCCCAGGGTCCACCAAGCACCTGCTTCTTGAGAGGAGAGGAGGGAGAAGCTCTGTTCTTCCTGTTCCTAAATTACTTTGAATCCCTCTGCTCCATGAAGCTTCCTTGCCCATCTTTGTCCGAACTCTCTTCTCCTTTAGAAGTTAATGCTTTCTTTCCTTTTTATACATATATAAATACCTACACACACGCTATAGATGTAGTCAAAGATACACTCCTGTGTTGGGCCTCCTTCAAGGAAGGGACTGTGTCTTTTTCCATCTCTCTCTCTCTTCAATATCATAAAACCAGCATAGAGCAGGTGCTCAGGACAGATGTCATGAAGAGTCAGGAAGGCTTGAGAGGGCCTCTGCTCAAGCAGCTGCTTGTGTCTCACCCAAGGAGACAGCCGAGGGCCCTGGGTACAGCCCTGCCTGCACCCCGAGCAGTGAGTGCCCACCCCAATCTAGGCGGGCCAGAAGCTCAACTAGCCCAGCCCATGCAATGGGATCTGGGGGCTCCAAGTCCGAGACTCACCCGAGAAACACCCCCTTCTGGACCCTGCACCCACCCCCCACTCTGCCCCTCACTCACCTCTGTGAAGCACATGCTTAACTCTTTGGAGTTATTGGCCTTCAGCCCCTGTTCCTGTGGAAGAGAAGGTGCTAGTAAGGACGGGCCACCAGAGCCGGCTCTCTGGCCAACTTTGTCCCATGACTCAAATGAAACCAAATATTCCATGGCCCTGCCACCCACCACTGACGTCATTAAGCACAGGGTGCATGAGAAGATGCTGGCTGAATCCCAGGCAGCTTCTCACACCATCAGCACTTAGGTCCTGTCTCCCCTGGGTTCCTGGAGAAGAGACTGCTAACTCTGCTCCCCAACTTAAGGCATTATATAGTAATAAGCCATTTGCATGTCTGTCGACTATGCTCAGAGCTCCTCTTGACGAGGCAGGGACCATGGCTTCTTTTCCTTGCATTGGGCAGTGTCTGGCCTGTAACATCAGCTCAGTAAATGCTTTCCTAGATGCATAAAAGGATGAATCAATGAACGAATGTCATAGATCAGAACGGGGATCCAAGTGCCAGCTCCAAAAAGCTCTTAAGCCCTTATCTGGGCTTGTGGGGAAGAGAACTGTAATTGATTAGTGATGTCTGCCACTGGTGCATGTTAGGAAGGCATCGGGCAACAGGGCCAGGTGCTGGCCAGTCTACCCTGAACAGATGTGTGGCACCTGGGAGCTCCGGGGCCAAGGCGAGGAATGAAAAAGCAATGCTGGCTTGCTGATGATGCCAGGGTTCTCTATTCCTGGCATAACCACTTGGATGTGGGACCAGAGGGTGTGCATGAGGAACCGTCCTTTGTTACTGTCATAAAAATGATCCATGGGAACCAGCTGGGGGACATGGTGTTTCTACCCTGGCTTCGAACGGCTTGGTTCCCAAGGCACTTGCGGGGAATCTCTGGCCACCAAAAGCACCGGGAAGCCCAAGAAATTATTCCTAAATCACTGCTCTTGGCCAGAAGTATCAATAATCCCTTAAACATCATAGGCAATCTACCACCCAGGGCATCTGGTCAGCCAAACAAGGCCCCAGCTGTCACACAGAGGCCAGCCAAAATCAAAGTCTCTACCAATGGTGGAGACGTGAGCACGGTGACGATGAGCACAACAGGAATAGAACCGGGGACCTGACCCAGGAAGATCTCGTTCAAGACTACGGTGCCAGTGACTTCAGGTGCCAAGATCCAGCCCGGTCAAGCCACCCACCTTTGTCCCCGCCGAAGGGCCCTCTGGAACCCAAGGACTGGATTCTAGCACCCCCACCAAGCGCAGCTCCAGCCAGGGCGGTGGGAGGCCACTGCGGGACAGAGCCTGCCCACTCCGCCTAGGGGCTGTGCTGTCATCACGGTCTTCCATCCAACTGCCCTCCTCTTCAGCAATCCACCCTCGGGCACCCCTCTGAGCAACTCGCAGCATCTGTGCCATCCTGTGCCATCCTGCGCCACGTGGCCCAGCCCCCGCTTCTCCTGGCATTCTCTCCGCGCTGTCTCTGCTTCCAGGTCTGGCAGGCCTCTGTCCCCTCCACACAGGTCCTCTTCCGGTGCAGCCCCCCCCCCCCCCAGTGTCACTAAGCAGCCTGCGTGGAAGCAGAGTCAGGATCAACGTCTTCACCCCCACTCCAACCAAAGCAAGTCTGTTTTGGTTTTGTATGTTGGAGTTATACACAAAAATCATTTTTAAAAATAGTCTACTGCTTCCAAAAAAAATAAATAAATAAGGTTGGAGAAGACAACTAAACTAAGTTACCTCTGAGGCCTGGCAAGCTGCTGTGCTGGGACGCCAGTTGTCAGGGTCCTCGGCACAGGCACGGCCACCGCTGGCTCTGGAGGGTCGTGCCCCAGGTCACCCCACGTGGGGGGAAGCCCGGGGAGCACAGGAGCACCAGGACCAGGGGCTCAGCCAGCAGGGAGGAGGTGAGATCTGAATGCGGACACCCGGCAGCCACGGGCCTGGGGCTGGATTTGCCCCTCAGAGCGAGTGGACTTGACAGGCTCCTCTTAAAAGCAGAGAGGAGAGGGGGCTGGTGGCAAATATTTGAGGAAAAAGGAGGCGGGGTAGGAGCAGGAGGAAAGAAGTCAGTGAGAGAAAAGAGAGTAGAGAGAAAAAGGAGAGGCATACCCTAGGAGCCAAGGAGCACACAGCGGGGGGGGGGGGGGGGAGCACGATAGGGAGGAGCAGGTGGGAACCTAGGGGGCAAGAGGGAGAAGGGGGCAAGGAACGGAGAGGAAGGGAGGGCGCAGAGGAGGAGGAGAGTAACAGAGAAGGAGAGGGAGCTGCAGAGGAGGAGTCTCCATCCTCTCATCAGACCCACGTTAACATGAGAAAAGTGACACAGCTCCCTGGGCCAGCCCCAAGGCAATCCAACCCCAGGGTGGTCTCTGACAGGTGCCTCAGGGATTTCGGTGGGAGAGAAGGACTGGCCTCCACGGAGATCAGGGCTAGGACCCGTGCCCCTGCCCCATGTCACCCACTGTGCATCCATCATCCACAGCATTGACCTGAGTCCTTCTGAACCAATGACAAGTCAGTCCAGCAGGCTCCGGGCCGCCGGCCATACGCTGAACATGTGCTGAATGCCCAGGTGACATCCGGGGCTTCCTCTTGCTGTCCTGAAGTACTTCCTTCGGGAGCTCAGAGATCTAGCTCACAGACTTTTATCCTCACAGACCCGTCCAGCCTGTCCCTTTTAAGCCAAAGGGTCCATGGGGTGCCTGGGTGGCTCAGTCAGTTAAGCGTCTGCCTTCAGCTCAGGTCATGATCCCAGGGTCCTGGGATCGAGTCCCGCATCAGGCTCCCTGCTCAGCGGGAAGTCTGCTTCTCCCTCTCCCTCTGCCTGCTCCCCCTTCTTGTGCTCTCTCTCTCTCTCTGTCAAATAAATAAATAAATAAAATATTAAGCCAAAGGGTCCTAATCCTTGGTGTCCATCCCCACAGAACCACTCCTGGATCTGAGGAAGGAAGAGCCTGAGAGGCCAGAGCCCTGGGCCCAAGTCTTGTTCATCCAGTGACCCAGGCAAGTCACTTCATCTCCTGTAACCTCAGTTTTGTCACCTATAAAATAGGGACAGACCAACGTACCTCACTGGCCCACTGTGACAACTGGACGAGACAGGGCGCACGGCACAGCAAGGCTCCGCACACCCGTAAGGGCTCCTTAATGCCATGAGGCGTGCGGCTGAGCCACGCTTAGTTTTACATCCTAACACAGGGCCTATGACAAATGCAGGCAGGGCCCAGGAAGGGGCTGGGAGGTGCAACCCAGGGCCGGCTGGAGCCTGGGGCTTCCCCCGCCCCTCCCCCAGAGGAGCAGCCTCTGCCCCAGCCGGACAGGAGCACCTGACTTCCAGCGGACACAGAGCAGACAGCGAAGGCTGCAGTGATCTCCCCAGGGGCCACCCTGAGACCCTCACCCAGCCCTGGCCACACAGAGCAGGGCAGGGGTTTGCCCACCAGCTGACCTTCTCTGAAAGCAGCCTACGGGCAAGGTACAGAGAGACGGTTCCACTACCTAATGGCAAAACCACCAGTGGCTCAAATCCACTGCCTCTCTCGCCCACCATTAACTTTCCCCCACGGCTCCGCAAGGGGTTCCAAAGATGAATGAGTCACAGCCCTGCTGGCGCCCTAGTGAGAGACATAAACATCCACATAGTCACCTCAGCGCCAGTAAAGAATATGGGAGCAAGAATATGGGAGCATAGCACAGAACACCTCCCTCCCCAAATCCGCCAGGCTGTAGGCTGCCCTCTGAGGCCGTGCCCCCCTAAGGCTGCCTGTGATGCCCATCCTACCCAGTTTTCTTGGACTCCTATGCAACAAGTTTAGGGGAACAGAGGTGAGTTACTTCAACCCCTGCCCCACCCCCACCCCAACTCTGAGCCTCTGCTCTCCTCAAGGCCAGCTCGGGGACGGTGGGGCTACGGTGTCCCAAAGGCACAGGTTTGGGCTGCAAGGACAGCAGGGGGCAGACCCTTGAATAGTAAATCCCTCCGACGTGGAGGCAGGCACAGGGACTTTGTGTCTTTGGCTATACTGCATGTTCCTTCCAGAAGGATGCAGTAGCAGGTGGCACTAGGAGACCTGACTGGGGGAAGGGGCACAGACAGAGGGAGAATGGCAGCGAAGGCAAAGTTCATCCTTCTAGAAATTTCTCCCAGAGGGGTTCCTGCCCAGGCAGTTGGAAGGAATTATCTTCCTCCTCTTCCTTGCCCACCTCTGTCCCCACTCCCAAAGCTGGGTCTGGCAGTCCCAGGGACCTACCAGTCTGGCCTAGGTGCCGGGGACCAAGCCCAGGATTGCATCCATGGCAACACTGTGTCCTCTGCTTCTGTTCCTGGCCCCAGCCCCAGATCTCAGTGTCCTTGGCCACCTCCCTCCTGGCTGGCCCACCTAGTAACTCACTCCTCTTCCCCTCCACTCCTTGCCGCCCCCTCATCCAGCCCTCCTATCTTGCCTACCTATGACTGTCAATGGTGACAAAGATCAAACAGGTCTGCAGGCGTGTCTCCCTTGCCAACCAATGTCTACCTGCAGTCCCAGGTAGAGGCCTTCCCAGATCACAGGGCTCATCTTCCCACCACCACAGTCCCCAGTTAAAGGCCCTCAGTGGCCCCTCCACACTCCCCATCTCAGCCTGCTCATCAGATTGCATTCCCATCCGTCCTTCCCATGTAAGTACCTGGTGTTCTCACCCAACCCAGGGCCCGAGGCTCCTCTAGACCAGGGAGCAGGCAAACATTTTCTGCAAAGGGCCTGGTTAGTATTTTAGGCAACTCTGCCTGTAGCACATGGATTATACATAAACAATGGAGTGTGACTGTGTTCCAATAAAACTTGATTTATCCAAGCAGGTAGCAGGCCAGACTCCCTAGTGGACCTGTTCTGTGCTATGCTGACTGCAAGCCCTTGCTCCCACGTGCCCCTCTGCCTGGACACCCCCACCCACTCTGCTCCAATTCCACGGCGCCACATACTCAGCACTCCCTGTTCTCCCAGGCCTAGCAGTGGGGTTAACTCGGCCCGTGGGTCCTCTGCTTCCACTCCCAGTCCAAAGTAGCCTCCCTCCTCTGGATCCCATGTCACTTTCTCAGTCTTCCTGGTGTGCTGACAGCTTCCTCCCCCAGCTATCTGAGCATGCATCGTGCCCATCCTACCAGCGTGGGGCCAAGGTACTGGCCAAGTGAGCTGGTCAGCCTCAGAGCCTGGAACAGAGTCACACGCAGTAAGAATCTATGTTGAATAAATGAATGAAGGTCCTGATGGACAAATAA